AAACTGCAAAAATATGAATATGTGGGAGGGAAAGCTTTTTTTTAATTAATGCGTAGATAAAAGCAGACCAGTTACTAGACCACTCCAGAGAGGTTTTCCTGTCTTCAACTGTCTCTTTTTACATTTGTCTATCTAGCTGTCACTTCATCCATTTGTCTGGGAGGAATTTGACCCTAACCATCTTCAATCTAGGCACATATAAGAACAAGCCTTAAATGGTGGCACAGATTAGCCAACAAGGCCAGATGGCATCATCTTAGAGTATGTGGCAGGAGATGATATTCACATGTGGGGTTTTTCTATAAACAGAAACTTGATGAGTCACTCTGATAGACAAAGATGAGTCAGTTATACAGCTATAAGAACAAAAACTAAATAAGATGCAACAACCAATTTCAACCTAAAGAGAAGATGGACATTTCTTGAAATGTTTCTATAAGTGTTTTATAGCAACAGTTAAAGGTAAAAACAAAAAGGGTTTTATTTTGTAATGTCCTTCAAACAGTCGGGTCTCCTGTTTTCATTATAAGGTTAGAAATTCTTGGAGTAGCTTTTAGCGATTTATGAGCAGCTTTAGCAACTGAAAAGCTTAGTTGGTCAAAGCTTTTCAAATCATTAGCTTTATGGCAGTTAGATCATTTTGAATGGGACAAAACTAGTGCATGAAGAAACATAACAGTCCTGTTTCATAGCTTAAGCAGTTCAAGTAGAAATTATCTTTACTGTTCCTCAGTGTAAATATTGACTTTTTCCAAAAGCAAGAAAAAAAAAAAAGTATTATGCAGATACACATAAAGGTAAACAACCAAGCAGAAGGCTGGGCAGTAAGGGTTAAATTTACAACATCTGAAGAAATACTGTAAAGTTTTTTGTTATTAAAAAGATTAAAAAAACCTAATACAGTATATTATAACCAAAATTGCAGTAATGTTAAAACTCTTTCTTTCTGTAAACATAATTTACATGTTTAAATATAACTTATCACATTTTTGTAAATATATTTTGTTATAATTGCAGAAATATTGTAAATATCTAAAGATAACAAGAAAGAATAATGTCTTAAAGATATATTAAACATAATGAAAAACAGACAAAAGCCATCAAACTCCTAACTGGTTTAATGATCAGTTTTCCAGGTCACAATATGAATGCCAAAAAGAAATCGAAAATCATCTCAAATCTAAAAATCTTTTCATTGCACTTTTCATTTCTCTATTTTAGACCGTAGAGAACACCAGCTGTTTCATTGTGTTCTAACACACAAGACAAACAACAGACTTACAGCTTTAGTGCTGAGTCACTATGAGAAAACCTCTGCTTGTCTGCTGTTTGCTACTCGAAGGGTGTTTTGTTTTTTTTCTCCGAAATTTTATGTGGCAAAAGTTTCAAATGAAAGCACACTGGATGTTTTTCATAACTAACGGACTTAGATCGAATGAGACTGAGGAGGAAAAATGGCTTACTGAGCCCAATCTGGACATCATCTAGGGTGCACTTGTTTGTTGACATTTTTGCTGCCAACATTCTGTCAAGTTACCCATGAAAATTTATAATAAACTGGTTACAAAAAAATGGGTTTAAAATGTGAGGTATGTACTCATTTTTGTGTGATACTGCATGTTATTTTAAATAATTGATCTAGGAGGCATTTGTGGCTGTAGAAATTAGATACATGTTCCATAGGCATCTCTTCCTATAAATGATCAATAAGTGAAAAAAATGCAAGCCACTTTCTCCCAAGCTAACTTTGAAATCTTGTAAAAAAGCCAGAGAAAAAAAAAAAAAAAAAGATTGTTTAAAATGCACAAATTACAACTACTGGCAATGAATCACACAAGTAGCAAGTGCCTTGTACATAGCCTTTGTTTTTTTTTTTTTTTTTTTTTTTACAACTAAAAGCTTTTTAACTTAATGCATTCCACTAGAAAACACACACAAAAAATGGTTTAGATTCATTAAAGCAGGAAGCATTACATTTTGAGAAAAAATGTAAAATACAATTAGAATTTCTAATGCTCCTGTTACATCCTTGGAAAGCTATCCCCACTCTTTTTATTAGAATTTAAGATCAAAGCAAATAAAATGTAAGTTATGCTATGTCCAAAAATGAATTAACATTATAATATAACTATAAAACAATACCTAATAACTATAATAAACAATAATATGACAAATTGTTCCAAAATACGAATCCATCTTTTTGAAAATGAATCATGCAAAAAAAGATACAAGGACTTTAAGCTGTTTATTTAGATTGTTTCATTTATGTTTAACTTATAATATCACAGAGGGAGAGAGAAATTTGTTCTTCAATCTTATGTTGCTATGAACTAAGAACCTCTGCTACAAGTATTGGGAGGATCTGAAATGACCAGATAACCATATTAAGCAATTAAAACCTTTGACTATTGTTGTTTTCAAAATAGATTAAACAAAGTCAGATGGAACTAAGGTCAAGTAAGGCCCCGCCTTTATGTTTGTGGTCGAGTCGTCCTGCTGGAGGGTATCTCTCTGCTTCAAGCTCTAACAGATTTCCCCCTAACTTACGTTCATCCGTCTTCCAATCAACTCTTATGAACACTTTTTTTTGTGCTTAAGAAAATAACGCATCATAATGTGATGCTTTTGTCGCTGTGTTTCAATGTAGCAATAGTGTGTCACAAATTTGTGACTCAAGTTCATAATTTTCTTTCTTTAATACATGGTAAAAACTAAATTAAACTTGGCCCCATTTCAGACGAGGATAAAATTGGAATCTGTGCTACTAAATCTGAATGTTTTGTTTAGAGTCATATATGCTTTTGAGTATAAACTGAATATGTGTGCATAAAGTAGTTTGAGTTTGTTGCAAAACAAATAGAATAATTAGAATTGAAATAAAATCTTGCTTTGTTTTTACTGTAGGTGTTTTGGGATGTATGTTATTTTCTTCGAGTTCTTTTGTACTTGTTTCACCTGTGTTTGAAATTTAAGGATGTGGTACAATAAGCTGCAAGAAAATTAGTACTCTCTGCCTGGTGAAGATGAGATCAATAAAATGTTATAGGGGTCCTAGAATGATTATATAGGGTATTTGGTGTTGGTCCTTAAGGTCTCTGAATAGGGTGTGTAACATTGGTTGGGCTGAAAATGGCATATTTGCTGTTCTATGAGCCCTAATGCAAGCCTGTTTATAAGCCTCAAAATGAAACGACGGGTTTTCTTCCTTTGATGGTATGATCATGAATATTTAGATGAGCTGTGAACTGATTGGTTGGTTTACAACAAGTGAAGCTGCAGAGCAAAGACGCATCATAGCAACAGCATGTAGTAGAAACACACTGGGCACTCGAACCGAGCCGTGAGCTCTTGGGCTGGAATGGTGCAGGAAGCCAGCGGGGGACTGAGCGACCGCACCCGACCCGGTGACGGTAGCCCGGACAATGGCCACCTCGTGCTTCCCCCCGCCTGCCTCGGTTCTAGTTCTGGGTGTACAGAGTAGACTGGGGCTAGAAGACCTGTGTTGTCTGGGAGGTCGATACAACAAAATCAAACAAACAAATCTGTTATGTATTCAGATGCTGCTCCATTCAGGGATTTATATACAAAAAGGATAATTTCAAAGTCTATTCCCCGAGCTACAGGGAGCCAGTGTAAGGACTGCAGAACCGGGCTGATGTGCTCTTCTTTCTTAGTACTAGTGAGAACAATGGCAGCAGCATTTTTGATCAGCTGCAGCTGTCTGATGCACTTTGTAGGCCTGTCACACTGTTGCAGTAATCAATTCTACAAAAGATAAATGAAGGGATAAGTTTTTCTAGATCCTACTTGGATATTAGTCCTTTATTCCTGTAGATGTTCTTTAGTCTGAAGATTATTACCTCCGTTTTGTTTTTATTTCATAGATCTAAAGTTAACTAATTCGCAGTGATTGCTTAGAAAATAATGTCATGTTTGCATGATCAAATTTGATTATTCTCAACAGCTTTATCTAGTTTTTAAAATGTTATAGAATGAAGCAAACACACTCCATGGTGTTCTTTTAAGGGGTATAGTATCAATTCAAGCAACTCAAATGTCAAGGCAATAGCTTCATCTTATTGGCTGCTTCTGGAAACAATAACATTAGGCAAAAGCATGTTATTTTGTTTTCTCTGTTTCTGCAAGAATTTCCATGTATGGTTGATTATTGTGTGCAAGCTGAACAGTACAGTGAACAGAAAAGACTGCTTCACATGAAGCTTGTTCAGCTAATTACTTTAAACTGTTCCTCATCTCCACTTGGTGTGGTCAGGGATTTATCCATATCCGTAATGTAACCTGCAGAACGTTGCAGTGGCTGTAGAAAGCTGATTCATTGAGAGGCTGTTAATATAGTTCAATCTGATACAGGCCTGCCACTGGCAAAATGACTGGTTTTTATAGTATCTCATGGTGATTGAGTGGGCTTCCCTTCAGATAAGCGCTTTGCTGTCGGATAGAAGAGGTTGACGGGTTGGAGCTGATAAGAAATCTTTCTAGTTTTATCTCAAGCATCTGTCAATGCCTATTTCTCCACTCTCTTCTCTGTGTTCTTCTTTTCTCTACCCACAGAGTTTATACATGTGGACAATGGTGGCAAGGTCCTTATTGAGGCTGATTGGTTATACCCAGGTCATCTCCTGGTCAAAGCTCGAGACAAACACAGAGTCACCAGTGTCTTTGCTTTGACAGAGGCTTCAGACTGTGTCCAATCAATTTAGTTCCTGGCCGGCTATGGACATGCAATAGTAATCGGTGTAACCATCTGTCAGGGGACAGGGAGATTGAATTTGAACTTTTTTCCCTGTGTATCTTTCTTTTTACTCTCTGCTAGGTGTGTGTTTGGCTGCTCCTGCACGTTCATTGTTGGTAAATTACGTGTCCTGTGTTTTAATTGGACAAACAAGAGTTGGTCAAGAATCCTAACTTTTCTTCTTTCTACTCCTCCTGCGTCTCCCCTCTCTTTCTCCTGTTCTTTCCTGCTCTTTTTTTGTATGTAGAGGTTCCGATGGCAACGCTGAGCCCACCCGCAGTGACTGCCAGGGAGGGGGAAAATGTGGAGCTGTTCTGTACAACCTCTGGCATGCCTTCGCCTGAACTAATCTGGAATATGTCACTGGATACTAACTGCGACGTAAGCAATAAAGAACACATATACAACAAAATATCAGGAAATTTTAATCTAAGAAATTCTGCAAGATTATTACAGATTTAATATTCCATAGTTTCCACTTTTATCATTGTGTGAATTTTTTTTCTATAAAAGACAAGCACAAAAAAATAAAAAAAAAGAATCTCAGAATCTGAAAAAAAAGAATATTAGGCTGTAAATAAAAATATATAAAACTGGTCCATATACCATTTACAGTAGCAGCCTTTCCCCAATATAACAGCTACAACTTTGGGGGATTTTATCCTTCCAATGTTGCTTTTATAGAAAGTGAAAGATCTGATTTAAGAAAAAATTGGAACAACAGTTTTCAAGTTAATTTTAACTTGGATTTAAATTGAGACATTGATTTATCCATCCTAATGCATAAATATGTTTCCTGTCCAACGGGGGTTGTCTCTCCAGGTGAGTATCTTGCAGCCTCCAATGGGTTTTGTTGTAGTTATGCCCAGTATTTAGAGTTGCTCCATCCATTTTTACATCAGGCATTACCAGCTCTGTTGTCCCAAAGCATGATACAGCTACTTTTAATGTATTACTTTGGAGATGGGTCCAAGTTGATGTGCATCTTAGTTTTCTGTCACACAGAAATATTTTTATAGATGAAAAATTTTTTATTGTGTTCTGTGAGATGCTCAAAGGTTGGAATAAACTTTTAAAATCCTATTCTAAGTTAAACTTCCCTACATTCTTCTGCCCTTCATCTATGTTTTCTGGACTGCTATTTGTTCCCTGATCTTCTGTATCCAACCTTTGAGATATCCACAGTGCATGTGGATTGATAAATTGGTGGAATTAGACACAGGTGGATTTTATTTAATTATAAGCTGCAATGCAATTGGTAGAGGAAAGTTGTTTTCTGGATAGCTCACCAGTGCATTACAGACATGCAGAATAAACCACACTTTCAGATCTAATTACAGGGTAGATTGACTTAAAAAAGTTACAGCTATGATTTTGGTCTGAGGAAGAAAGACACAATACCTGGATGGAGCTCAGGAATGGAAATGAAGAACATGCAAACTTCAGGGCTAAAATTTAGAACCAGTATCTACTTGTTGCAAAATCAAATTACTAAAGCAGTGCCTCCATGCAATTAGCTATTATGTCTCTTAGTTTTATCAATAGAAAGGGTTCTGTTAAAGCTTTAGTCTAAATTTATTGCCTTATATTTACAAAAAAATGTATACTCCAAGTTATTAACAAAGGGTAAAGTCGTAAAGAAGATTTTTATTCTGTTTACATTTTTTTTAAAACTTAAAAATATAAGGTTTAAAAAATCTTCTCTCTCTTGCAGATCGAGACATCTGGCCAGGTTTCAGTGATGCGGCTCTCTAACCTGACATCAATGGACCATAGCAAGAAGATCAGCTGCACGGCTGAAAATATTGTTGGAGGGAGGGAGTCCTCTTTACTGCTGGACATACTTTGTACGTTCACCATCTGTCAAGCTGTCCAAAATTCAAATTAGAACAGGAGCAGATTTCAAAACAGAGTCAAAGGCTTGAGAGGATTTATTTTTATATTTTTAATTAATGACTTGAAATGGTAGTTGTTTCTTTTAATTTTGGTTTTGCTCTTAAATATCTCTTCTTTTAACTCTATACTCTCAGTTAAACCGATAATCACAAAGCTGAGTGACGCTATCCCAGACCATCACTGGTGCATCCCCTTCAGCGTAGCAGGTATGTAAGAAAATCCCACAAAACCCATTTAGTTTCATTTGGATATAATCTGAATAAGTATTTCTTTGTCATAATAAATGGGCATTTTATACCATTCCTATCGTGTTTTCCAGCAAACCCAAAACCTACGTTCCGGTGGTATCTGAACCATAAAGAAATTACAGAAGGGCAGTACATTGTGACGATGATCCATGACATCACAGAGAGAGAATACCACGGCTGCTTGCAGCTGGACAGCCCCACACACCTCAACAACGGGCTCTACACCCTAATAGTTGAAAATGAGTTTGGCAAAGACAAAAAGGAGATCAATGCTCACTTTATGCTCCAGCCAGATGGTGAGAATACAACATTGAAATTTACCTTAGTCTTGCTTGAACTACAGGACAAAATGTAAAAGAGTTAACCAAGATATTCTTTTCTTTGTTCTCCCAATAAGTAGGTCCTTCAGAACCTTCATACTATGGTGAGTAATAGGTTTTATTTCTCTCAAATAAAAAGTGTAAAAACCTATTCACTGTCTGTTCATTTTGTCCTTGTTTTTAGATTATGTTTCACATCGTCCCCATCAGTTGATTGAAATTTAGTTTTAGAAATCTGTCTTTCTCTTGTTCTTTTTCCTTTAAGGTCCTGAGGGTGCGTTATATACCTACACAATTTTTTTTGCTGTCTCCTTGATATTGTCTCGTATTTTCTTTAAAACACTGTGCATGTTCAGTGTGTGTTGTCTGTTGGTTTGTGCGCTGTGGTTCATGAGATTACCTTCTAAGTTCTGCATGTTAAAATATTTCTAACTAAAACCTGTTTTGCTGTTAGACCTAATTGTCTCTATGTGTCTTTTTCTTTGACACGTCCTCCTGCCAGCAGATGTAACCTCAGGTATACCCTTTATTTGTTTACTCTGGCTTACAAACACAATTGCATACTGACTGCCAAGCTTACAATTAACCTTTGCTAAGCTGTCAAGTTTTCATGTAACACTTTCATACAAATGGCAGAAAGAGTTCCCATGTGGGTAACAAAGAGAGCTATATATATTAAAGGATAATTAGAGAGTGATCCTGTTTTTGTTTTTTTTCTTGAAAAAAGTGTACCAAAAGTGAGATGCAAATGGATGCATACACTAAAACATAACAAAAATTAATAAAAAGAAGATATTCTTTTAGGTGCGACTGAAAAAACTTTACAAATGTGCTTGTATTTTTTGTACTTAAAAAAATGACAGCATGTTTTCTAGAGATGAGTTAATATTCAAACAAAAGCATAGATGTAAACTACACACATATTTCTGTAAATAGGGATGTATGGGCAGGAACGTAAATTAATGGTTTAATGTTTGACAGCTACTGGTAAGAAGGCTCTATGATGATGCTCCTTTGTCTACAAAGAAATTAAGGATCAGGTTTTCAAATTTCTGATTCTTAGAGTTACATCTTCATAGCTTACTATGTATTTGTTTTTGGTTTGTTTTTAACCTTTTTTAGTACTTACCATGTATTAAAAGCTTAAAATGGTCAAAAAATGTAGACTCCATAATTTTAATTTGTCCACAAGCAGGAGAGAATAATTTATGTATTTTGTACAGAAATCAAAGTAATTTCAATGGCAAAATCAATATATGGTTTAAACTTTGAATTATTTAAAAGAGTGTCACAGCTTAGGGCTCCCATTATTTTAGAAATGTTTTAAGAAGTAATGTAGTAATAAAGACAGTTTCAGCTCCTGAGATCTGTTCTAAAAAATGAGCAAGTTGTTTATTTGCTTATGTCTAATCCAGATTTAAAGAATTAGGAGCCTTGCCATAAATTCCTATAGATGTCAAAGTGTAGATCATTTCATCGCCCATATAGACGTTAAACTACTAAGCTCATTCACACCCTTTCGTATTCTTTTCCATTAATAAAAGTCTGAAATAAAGTGATAATTTGTCACAGCTTCCTTTTTGATTCTGTTTTTTTAAACTTTTATTTCTGAATCAACAGAGACTCCTCCTCAAGACCCACCTGAGGACAGAGTTGCTGTAAGTTCATTTTATTTGGATCTCCTGTCCTTAATCTTAAATACCTGCTTTTTAAAGTTAGATATGTCTAGAAAAACCCAGCTCATTATTTTTGATTCACTGCCAGCAATATAAAACATCTATTATTCTCTTTCTTTCCTTGTGCCTGAACTTTGCTTAGTGTGGCTGTTTGCTGGTTTCTATAATAAATGCATGAATACACAACTCTGTTTTGTCATTGTGCAGGTATACGTAGTAGTGGGGATTGCTGCTGTAGCCTTTACTGGTTTCTTGCTGATGCTGGTTATCCTCAAATTTGGAGGGAATTCCAAGTTTGGCCTCAAAGGTACGTCATTCTAATTATATTTATAACACCTGGTGAGATTAATCACTCTTGGAGTGATTAATATGTGGATGGGTTCATGGATAAATAAAAACTATAGTAAACAAAAGCATATATTTCATCACCACATATATCTAATAATTAATCATGTCTGATCATTGAAAAAGACAAAAGAGAAAAAACTCCATAAAGACATACAGAGAAATAAAATTTTGGACATTATATCACTTTGATTCCAGATTGTTCCACTTTCTAAAATGGGGTCTTTTTGTGTGAGAGGTTAAAAATCAGATGTGTGACGTGTATTTGGGCGAGAAATTACTTGCTTTATCTCTAACCCCAACCTAATTTCACTCTAGCCTCTGCTGATGGACTCTCTCGTCTCTCTGCTGCAATAATTGCTGACTAAGTTAAAATCAACAGTAAAACTTTACCTAACTGAAATGGAGTCAAAAGAAAGCTGAATGAAATCAAGATCCAAAGTTTATGAGACATTATGAAAGTTTTTATGGACAACTATCTTTAAAATGGCCTTTTTTATCTGAACCTTTATGACTAAAACATTGTTTGATGAGCAGAATGTAACCTCAGTAGTTCAGCACCTATGTTTCTATATACTGTATTTGTAGCCTATTTTCCTGCATTTTAATTCAGTTCAGAACTTCCAGTACTATTAAGCGGATGTGACAACAATCATTTTCATCCATCCATCCATCCATCCATCCATCCATCCATCCATCCATCCATCCATCCATCCATCCATCCATCCATCCATCCATCC